TAAAAAAAAAAAAAAAAAAAAAAAAAGAGAATAATAATACACACAGGTTTGGCAAAATGTTTTAGTGCAAGTAGTTTGCAAGGGCAGTTACACTTTTCGTTGAGTATGAAATTCATGAAATTCATAATTTGATTCAATTTAGTCTAATTTAATAGATTTGAATTAATTTTTTGAATTCGTAATTCGGTTCCTGATTAAAAAATTAAAAATCTGTAGTTCACAAATTGGTTCTAGATTGAACCCCACAGTTCCGGATTAAAACCGATCCGGACCATATACAAATAGCTTATATTTATATTATACCTCCTCCCTCATCTTCTTTTATTCCATATAAAACCTAAACCCACATAGTATCTCTTTTATTGCTTTTATTTGTTAGTTTTTAGTTTTAATTTGTCATGGTCTAAATACTTATGGTGGAACTAAATTTCTTATGGTTGTTTAAATTCTATAGCAATATATTACTATTATGGAAAGATATGTTGCTATTGTGGAACTAATATGATACTATGTTTATATTTTTATGAAATTAAAATGTTCTATATTTTTTTTCTTATTTAATTATGTGAATCTGTGGTCTTAAATGGATCCAATCCGTGTTTAAATAGATTGGTTCGGATTGGTCCCACGATTTAAATGGATTGGATTGGTTCTAATTTTTCAAGAACCGTAAATAATAGATTGGTTCTGATTTTACCCAAATCCGGTCCAATCTAGACCATGCTCGCCCCTAAGTGTTAACATTATTGTTTAACAATTTTCTTTTATAACCAAATGAATTGTAATTTATAATTGTTACTAAGCATGCCCATCAATTTTCATTTTGTTTATTTTATTTTATTTTTTTCCCCACCAAGCCCGGCACAACATTCCATTTAAGGTAAATTACACCTCTCATGAGGTTTTTTTTAAAAATTAGAAAAAAATACCCTATAATTTTAGTAATATAATTATATTAAATTATTATTAGGTTAAAGTGTTAATTTGTATAATATTTAGTATTATTTTTTATCAATTATTTGTTAGCTATATGGATGGAAAAATTATTGAAATATATATTTAATTTTATTTATTTATGTTTGTGCACCATCTACTGCTAGCCTTACTAAAGAGGTTGGTGTTTGTATTTTTTTTTTTCCAAATTTCAAATGAGATTTGAGTAATTTACCTAATGTTTTTTGAGATGTAATAAATATGGCATTCCTTAATAATGGTCAAGAATTCTTTGTTTCAAATATTAATCTTAAGGGAAAATCCTATGTTATATGCAACCTACCATAAAATGTGTAATTTTATTATAACATTTCGTAATATTAATTACAAAATACGTACGTAATTTCATCATAAATTGGCGTAACAAAAAATATTTAATTAACAAAAAGAAAAAAAAAAGGTTATAAACTTTTGTAATACTAATTACAAAATTTTAGAAATTTGTGATTTAATATTTTGAAATTTTACGACAAAATTACATAAACCATAAATTTTTAATCTTAGGACTTGATTCAACGTGTGTGATTATTTTTGATAAATACACACAAATTAGCGACAAAGCATCCCCATGCCCTTATAATCATTGCGACTCTTGTACTATATTTTGGATGAATGACAACCTTTCTCCAAATGTAGTGTTAGATCACAAAATGGTTTATAGGAAATACACTAGAAGACTAAGAAGAGGTCTATATTCATAATAAATCTCAACCTATTGTTACACTTTTTGTGATCCATTCTATATTTTAATTGTGTATCTTCAGTGATAGTGTACTACATAAATTTATCTTATAAAATGTCATTTAGTTCCTTACAATATTTGTAAAAATTACTCAATAATTGTATTCTCATCAAAAATCTATTCCAACAAGAAAAATAATCAATGAATGCATAATTTTTTTTTTTTTTTGGATTCATTGGAAATTAAAGCAAACAAAGATACAGAGTCACAAATACATCAAACAAAGGCTAATCCCTCATCACACTAATTCCAATCATGTCTTATATGACCAAATGACTAACTTCAACTAGTGGTGTTTTAAGGAATACTACATGTTCTTATTGAGCCACTCCCAAATTGGCTAGTTTGTCAACTACTTTGTTTTCCTCTAGCAGTGTGTGTCCAGGAAAGCAATTGCATCTATCTAGTAAGAACTTTGCATCTTCAATGAGAGATTTGTAAGGTGAGTGTTGGTTTGGGCCATGTTGTATTTGGAGGATAGCTTGCTCTAAATCAGATTCAATTTCAACATCTCTAATGCCTTTTTGAAAAAGAATGATAAGTCCTCTGTATATTGCCCATATCTCTGCCTTCAAACTTGAGCAATGTCCTAACTTGCCATAGTAATCCCATAACCAAGTCCCTGTCTCATTTCACAAGAGTCCATCATAGCTAGCCTGACCTGAGTCTCCTTTTGAGCAACCATCTGCATTCAGCTTAAGTTTACCTACAATTGGACAACACCATTGAATTAGTCTAGGTAGAGGAGGGTGTAGGTAAATAGGGGATTGAAAAGCCTCATCAATCTTATAGACATGATCCCTAATGTTCTTGAGACTGGTTTGGATTGGGTTAGTTTAATTATCAAAGACAACTCTATTTCGATCATTCCAGATTTGCCAAAGAAAAACAATACACAGAAGGTACCATTTTTTCCATAATAAAACTTCTTGCTTTGCATGTTAAAAGTAACCCAATCAAACATAGGCTTATCAGTTCTTTTTTCCTACCACTTGTTGCTTTGGATGTGGACCCAAATGTCTTTGAACGTAGCGTAGTCTCTAAATAAATGATTCATATCTTCACTAGACTGGTCACATCTAGGACATAAATCTATACGAGTCATATTTCTCACAAGACGTAGCTGATTGGTTAGTAGTCTTTCTTTCAATACAAGCCAAAGGAAGCATTTCAATTTTTGGAGAATTTTAATTTTCCATAATAAATGATGTATCTCCCAAATTCATTACATGCTTCCAAATCTGTAGTGTAATGGCCCTTGTTTTCATCAATGTATGTAGGTGCGCTATCAATATTTGGTCACCATCCAATTAATTAAAGTAAAACCGTTATAATGAGATAATTTAGTATTCTTAAATAAATTATAATCATAACATAGACCACATTAAGAATAGACAAGATTGTCTTCTTATTTAATTTTTAATATAAATTTAAATTATCTTTTTGCTTTAATTTTGTTTTCCCTTTACATTATTATTTTTGGACAAAATTTAAAACTTCATTGCAGCAAAGTAAACATTGGATCCAATTTTTAAACAAAACAACTTGATGTGGAATGGAATAAGTATACTTAGAATTCGACGCAAACTCAAAGGGGATTAGAAGCGCACACAATTGAGAAACAAATGAGATACTATCTCAATTGAACCTCTACAACCTATAACGTCCTCTTATGTATGTTTTTTTAATTAAAAATATAAAAAATAAATGAAGGAAAAAACTAATTCATGACGTGATTTTCGTAGTCACCTTTCACTACTAATTTGAATATGAAGTAGATTCAGATAATATCTTATCGAGTTTGGATTTACTTTTCATACCATATACACTTGGACTTGAAATGGGGGTAATTCAGCCATTTTAATTAGTCATTATTTTGAAATATGCTATTTTAGTAACTCTTTGATTAAAATATAAGGTAAAAAAAAATAATATGTTTGAGATAATTTTTTGATTTTTTATAAAAAAAATGTATAAAAAATAGAGAGTATTTTTTTTAAAACTTTTTAATATAGGTTATTGACTTTTTAATTTTTTTAAGTGACTTTTTGACTTTTAAATTAAAAGATTGAGTTGTCGAACCGGACCTAAGTTTTCAAACGAATTGTGAAGGTTGGGGAGGTTAAACATATTTTCAAAAACATAGTCTATATGCTAAATATCAAAATTCAAGGGAGGTCATTGCAATTTACCCAAATAAAAACCATGGTTTCTTTCGAAATTACAGCCTTCGCCACAAAACAATCACTCCCACACTCTCTCTATCGTTTCTCTCCGTCTCAAACCAATCAATTCCAATAATTCCATAAAAGATTTTCACACAAAACCCTTTCTTTCTCAGCTGATTCCGCATTATTCAACCAAGTTCCTTAATCAATTGCTCTATTTTCTCTCTCTACAATCGTCGTCGTCGTCATCATCATCATCATCATCTTCTTCTTCGTCTTCGTCTTCGTCTTCGTCTACACATGGCAATGGCTAGCAGTGGTAATGGTGGAGGTGGAGAAGACGAAGTGAAGCAGTTGGAAGCTGAGCTGAGCAAAACCCTAAAACAAGGAGAGAGAATTCTCGCCCCCACTCGAAGGCCAGACGGAACCCTCAGAAAACCCATTCGAATTAGGGCTGGTTATGTTCCTCAGGACGAAGTCGCCATTTACCAATCCAAGGGAGCTCTGGTACGTATATACGTGTATATGTGTATGTCTATGTTGAGATACAGTAATGTTATATATGTATGTATAGGTGTGTTAATGTTGATGATGGTGGTGATGGCAGTGGAAGAAGGAGATGCAATCGTTGCAGGACGTGCCGCCGGGTTACGATCAGGTTTTGGATTCAAAACCTAAGACCAAATCTGCTAAGAGGAACGAAAGGAAGAAGGAGAAGCGGCTACAGGTTACTCTTTCTCTTGATTTTGTATGAGCCAAGTCTTTACAATTTTGTGAGTTTTTGTATGGGATGAAATGAATCTGCTTACAATGTTTACCATAACCTTTTTTTGGGGGGGCTTTGAGAGGTTTATAATCAAATTAAGTTTTTGAAAGATTTTAGCTTTGAGAATGTTTTTTTATACTTGGATATAATTTGTAAAAGAATAATTCTACATATACTAATAATTTTACTAAAAATACAAGAGGCCAGATGTGATTGATTGTCAGAAAAATAATGACATTTAAACATCTAATCACTTTTGAACATGTATGTTTTTAGTAAGATTGTTAGTAAGATTTTAAGTAGATGTAGCATTGCGCATTGTAAAATTTGTTTTGAGATAATAAAACCGTCGAGAAAGATTAGGCATGCTCACCTGTTTCCCGCAATGCCATAAAAGAATTAACCCAAGTGATAGTTTGATTGCAGAAAGGATCAACTCTTTGGATGAAATAAAGGGCATTTCTTTTTGATCTTCTGTGGTAGTTGCCTCTGTGTAGGATTGTCTTTTCAGGTTTTTTTAGGCTGTAGATTTCAGGCAAAGTGACAATCAACTAGAATGCACTCGTTCCTCTCTTTTTTGATAAATAAAGTAATTGTATTCATTCATAAACTGCCAGAAAAGGGGCAGAACGTGTGTACGTCAGATGTATACAAAAAGGTTATAAATCCTAACTAAAAGAAAGTTCTGTCAAAGCATATGGTATCTACGACATTTTCACTTGATATTTGCAGAATACATTCGTAGAATTTGAATTGCAACTTATTATAAAAAAAAAATAATAATAAAAAATAAAAAATCTGAATTTAAAATTCAGTTTCGTTTAAAAGATACTAAACACATCATCATGTGTCATAGCTTTAAATTTGTTTCCTCGCTTGATGTGTGTTCTCTACAATGTGGAACTAGTCCACAAAAATCCTAAGGAACATTTCATTGTTGCCAATATTACTGCTGATAAGTTGCTAGTTACTAGTAACATCAGCTCCAATGAATCATCATATTGTTGGCATCAGTAATATCACCAACCTGGCAGCACGTCCATCCCTTTGTCACTAACACCACTACCTTTATTGCACCACAGTCGAAAAATTGTTATCGTTGCCTCTAGTGTGGTATCTCCACCGAAACCACAAGGAAAAGAGAGGATGAAGGTGTGATATTCAGTTCTAGTTTCAATTCATTAAATAATTGATACATGATGACCTGCACTACCTATAGGCATTAGTTTTGCACATATATGCTTTGTTGCTGGTAAAAAAAAAGTTTTGCATATCTATGATTTCAATTGTAAATTTATTCCAATTTCAACACTCCGAGTGACGTACACCTCACAGTACAGGCTTGGAGTAATTTGGAAATTGAACAGGATAAGAAGTTTAAAATAGGAGGTGTGTGAATAGTTCAAGACTCTAAAGTGGGAAGAAAGGAAATTCGTTGGCTGATAGTGGATGCATTTTGAAGGCTCTTTTAACTCAATTACAACAAAATAGTCAAAGTTAGGCTTTTTTTACATGCCTTCCTCTTCTGTAGCTTTGCAAACTATATAATCAAATGGCAAAAGAAATGATAATGAATAGAAAATGTGATAAATTTAAATCTGGCAAGGTGTCTGCCGCCAGTGTGGCACCATCTGGGAGAGGTTCCTGTAGCAAAGGCATGCATGTATTGCATAAACTTAATAATAGGATGAATCTTCAGAAAACATTTGGTATCACAACTACAAAGTCAATAACCTGTCATGTGAATATGAGGTGTTCTTAAGATCTTCACATGCCACAGTAAATGATGTGAGCCTTGTGTGGGCATGATAAATCATGTAGGCGATGGAAGTGAGGTAGAAAGAGAAATGCAGATTATTTAATCTTGCCCTTAGGGGTGAGTTTTAGGTTGGGGTTCCTCCTGTCATTGATCAAAATCAGCAGTCTTTATTTTATCAATAAATTCTCAAGAACAGAATAATGAGGAGAATGAAGAATAGTACGCTTAAAACTTGTAATTTTGGTTCTATGTTACAAGACAAGCTTTCGTGAGAGTCATATATAGGTTAGTTCAGGGCTAGAAGCTCTGAAGAGTGAAGAGGAACATTTATCAATTTAAAAAAAAAATGCTCTCAACCTTCTGTCGAACATTTGTGACTTCATTTTCATTCAGTTTGTTTTCTAGTCCTTCGCATTGCCCTTGTTATTGTTGGAGATATTGATAGTAGATGAATGTTGCTGATTTTGCAAGAAAGAGGGAATTTCATCACAAACCAGATCCTGCTATTTTCCAGAGTGAATAATTATCACACCAATCATTCTCTATTCTTGTGTGCCTTGCATTTTATTTCTTACCTTTACATCCAGGCCCTTAATGTTCGCCACTTTGTTTTTAGAGATGGAAAAATGGATATCCTAACATGCTAATAATGAGAGGACAAGATCTCTGTTGTGTCTATCCCCTTTGGGTTTATCTGTGCATTATCTACCTCTGCATGTAAGAACTTTTATATTATCTCTTCCCTTTTTGGTTTACAAATTGTGTAGAAGTGGGGAACAAGCACACATCACTTCTGAAAAGTAATGTAGTGATGCTCTTCTAATTGGTTGGACCATAGGTGCATGGTTTATTTCATGGGCAAGGTCTGAAATAGGTGGTGTAATTCATTCTGGGGTCTACTGGCTATGGTTTCATGAAGTTTACAATTGGAGCCAAAAGGCATGGCTGTGTCTAACAGACTTAACTGTGATTATAATTGTCTCACAAATAAGTTGTAGGAAATTTATTCATGCACCTACATGCTAGCAACAATCTTGCTTTTATTTTTGGTACTTTTCTTTTGTGGGTTGTTATTGTTTTTATATATAAATTTAGCATGTTACTGGTGCAGGCTGCTCTTGATAAGGGTAAGAACTCGGATAGGAATGAAACGTCGGATGAAGATGCAAGTCAGGGATTGGAATCTGTTGAGCCAATGGTATCACAGTTGAATGACCTTGCTATATCTGCAAATTCTGCTGTGGTTGCACCTCCCTCAAACTCAACACAATGTTCAACTCCTTCAGATCCTGTTCCAGATGTTGATAAAAAGATTAGAGCACTAAAAAAGAAGGTAAAATTTCTCATGCTTCTTGCATTTGAAGAGGATATTCATGACTCCACTCTGTTCCTTTTTCTAGTTTGTCTGGGACAGTTGTTATTTGTTAATGTCACACCTTGGCCCCAAAACAAGCCCTAGGCTCATCAAAGGCTTAGGGAAAGCGCAAGACACCTTCAGTCAAGCCCACTTAAAGCTCTTAGGGACACACCTTTTAACAAGTTTCAGGCTTGGAAAGGTGCATGTTTTATAATTGAATCATACCTTTATTGTTATCTCTATCTTTTTATTCGTCGTTGGCCACTGATTGATATGTCGTATATCATATTCATGGTCTTGAGATAGATAATATTGTTTAATCATTTCCAATTATTTGTTGCTTCTGTTTATGGAGTGTTGTTGCTTTTGTTTGTCTAAAACCAGTTTTCTTATTGCTTTTGTTTGATGCAATGTTTAGTTTTAATACAGAGGGGAACCCTGCTTTGTGTAATGTGTATCTAGTTTTTTTGCTTTTGTTTGTTGCTTTTGTTTATTATTTTTAACTGTTCTATATATTTTTTTTGGTTATTTAATTATGTGAATCCGTGGTCCTAAAATGATTCAATCTGTGTTTAAACGGATTGGATTGGTTTCAATTTTTAAGGAAGCGTGTAGATAACGGATTGGTTCTGATTTTATCCTAATCTGGACCAATCTGGATCATGTTCACCCCTATATAATTGTGCATTAGGCAAAAAATATGGAATAATCTCACTAATGTTTCCATCCAAAAACAGATGAAGACGGATCACACAAACTCAAACCGACTTGCCATCCCATTCCTAAATTGCAAGATTTAAAAAACACTCCACAGTTTGCACGCACTTGCTGTGGGCGAGAGGGACCATGAATGGCACTGCATTTGGGAGTACCCTTATCCTCACTCACACACCCTGCCCTTCGAAAGGGTACTAGTGCCCTTAATCCTCATCGCTTACCTTCAACGATTCACATGTGCAAGTGTCCTACAATAAGGGCACTGTCCTCAGAGGAGATTCCCCCAAATGCCCTCCGCTGGAAGCGTGACCCAACCTGGAGAGGAGGGTTCAGTCTAAGGGTAGATTTAGGCATGTCTCGCACCGGACTTGCCCTTAATTAGGGAAACTTACTATTGCAAAGGTGGTGAGTTGGAGACACAAAACTAAGGCATTGTGGTTGATAGCAGGTGATAAGAACTCTAAATGCTATCGTATGACTAAGAAGTTTGGATATAGGCACAAGACACAAACGCGCCCACAAATTTTTTTTTTATTTATTAAAATCATAAATAAAAGAAAAAAGAAATGACACGGGAGAGATATGACAACAAATAAATATATATTTTTATCTGTACCAATATGTAGAATGTGGAATATAATTCCTTACAATTTTGATATAATAAAAAATTAATGTATTTGTAATGTAACAAATGAAGAAAAATTCCTAATATCTATTTTAGAAAGCTCTATTCATAAACAAATTGAAAATTTTGTGTTTTAGAATACCTAAAATTACAAGTCTAAAAGAGGAGGGAGTAATACTAATAGGTAGGTGATGGTCATGTGAGTTCCCAAGTGTCTGAAGTGTGTCCAATTCTTAAAAAAATTAAAAGATAATAGGATATACTTGGAGGTGTATTCAACCTGTGTTGGGGATTGTCAGATAAGTATTAGTGTTCGACATGGACAAGACACATTCTTAGGAGTGTATGCGCATCTTAGCCGGATGGCTATAATTTTTTTATTGATACCGAGGTATCTAAATTAAAACCTGACTAATTTCCATGGGTGCATAAACCCTCGACAAGGAGTTTCACACAAGTGCACCACAATTAATTCAAGGGTTTTCTCCCAGTCTGATGGCCCCAAAGAATTATTAGCACCTAAGAAGTTTCGATCTTGAACCTTAGAGGGAGTACATCCCAAGGCCAACCCCTTGGGGTTCTTAGCTGGATGGATAATGATCATAAGATCACATCATATAGAAAGATTTGCTTTTGAGGGTGAGAAAGTGATGGAGAAGACTGTGTTAAGAGGGTTGTCATGAGTTTTTATAAGAGGTGCCATCCTCCAAGACTACTTTCAGGGTGGTTACTATTGGAAAGACTTGAGCTTGACTCCATTGGGAGGAGGGTAAGGATTAAGGAGTGGCTAGAGAGACCATTTCTTGACGAGATAGTGATTGCTTTCCGAAGCTTGGAAAGGGATGAAGAGGGCCCAGTTGGATGGTATGATGAAGGGATTCTTTCAATATTGGAGTGTGGTTCAAGGTGATGGATGTTTTGTTGTATTATTGTGGTTCTTGTTGTTTTTGTTGTTATAGCATGGAGAGTTTGAGCTGAGTCCTATTTGTTGCATGGGGTATTTAGATTGATTAGTCTTATAGGGAGTGCGTAAAAGCTCATGGTAAAGGTACTATTTTTTATATGAAGGAAGATTATAAGTGGCATTATTTTTGAATCTCAAATGCTTTTATGAGTGTGGAGGGATGTTGATGTTTTGTTAGTTGCTAAATTACTAATGACTGTGTTGTTTGAGGAGCAATGGGTAGTATGCAAGCTTGATATTGAGAAAGTCTTGAATCATTTTCATCAAAAAAATTGTGTTTCATGTGTTGAGGAAGATGCAGGGGGACACTAGTTTAGTGGTTAAAATTGGCCTACTAGCCTTAAGGTTGTAGATTCAAACCTGAGGACACTCACTATATGCAAATTATGCCAAATGTTGGGTCTGTGCTCAATCAATTTGACTGGCCTAAACTGGCTGTTCTTGTGTGTTGAGGAAGACTTGTTTTACTCAATAGGAGACCCTTTTTTGGTTCTATTCATCTTCTTTCTAAATCAAGGGTTTTAAGGCCAAAACATTCATGCCGAGTAGGGAGGTTGGTTGAGGGGATTCATGGTGGGCAATAGGACAGGAGAGGAGGCAGCAGTTCCTCTCCTGCACCTCTGATGTCACTATCTGTTTTGGTGGAGTAGGAGGTTTTACATCTTAGAGTTTTATTAATTTAAAAAAAAAATAAATTAAAAAAAAAAAACTGTGTTTTGTTTAAGGAACAATTTAAGAAATAAAAACTGGTCCTGGTTGGTAAGGTGCTGGACCTGGACCTGGATGTTATATTCGTGGTGGAGAATTGTGGGTGTGGTCTGGAAGTTCCTATTTGGGTTTATCTTTGACTCTTCTTATAAGGGTAAATCAGTTGTATATCATTGTGGTGAAACTTGAGGAGGCTAGCTGGGTGAAGAGGCAGTATTAATCTGTAGGCGAAAACTCACTACTGTCAAGAGCACATTGTCTAGTCTTCTCACTTTCCAACATTGGTAGTGAAGGGACTGCAGGAGCTCATAAAGCCTTTTCACTGATCTTAATCGAGTTTATCTTTAAATCTTCTTATAAGGCTAAATCAATTGTATATCATATTGGGGAGATTCTACAATACACACCCTCTAGAGGGGGTGTACCATATGCAAGTTACATTTTGTGGTGTTGATACCATTCTGTCATAATCAAACCACTTTCGGTCATAACTAAAAGGATCGTAACCAAACACCACTTGAGGCATAACCAAAGACCTCTTCGGTCACCAAAACAACAACCACAGTAGATAGGTCATAACCAAAGACCACAAAAGGTCTTTAAAAGCAGTATTTATGTGAAGGGGAAATCTCACAACTGTCAAGAGCACATTATCTAGCCTTCTCATTATTCCGACCTTGGTAGTGAAGGACTGCAGAAGCTCAGAAAGACTTCTCATGGAGTGGTCTGTTAGACAAGTTCAAGTAACATTTAATTGAAACTTGAAATGGAGTTTGTCGCTGTTAAGTTACCAATTTTCCCAAAAGCCTATTAGGAAATGGGCCCAATAATGTATATCAAGTTATCTAATACCCTCCTACATGTGCAACCCTGTCTTACACAGAGAGACAAACAGAAGGAGAAGCAAACAACCAAATAGAGAGAAATTAATCGAACGGGAACATAATACCAAATGCTAACGGAGAGATTTGAACCAATCAGAGCTCTGATACTATGTTCAGTTACCAATTTTTTCAAAAGCCTAAGCTATTAGGAAATGAGCCCAACAATGTATATCAAGCTATCTGACAGTCACGTGGTCTCTTCTCAGTTGGAGATTTACGGGTTGAGAATCTTTAGTCGAGCATTGTTTGTCAAATGGTTGTAGAGATGTGTTATCGAGAGAGATTTTGTTTGGACGAGAGTAGAGAGGAAATATGGGAGTCTTTGCAGTTCCAGATGGTGAGTTTTGATGGAGTGAGGGAATTATTTAGCTTGTGGAAGGGTAATTTAACATGATTTTGTGGGTGTAATTTTCAGAAGTATGGTTGTTTTATTGTGGGAGATGGTCAAAGGAAGTTTTATATTGATATGGTGTGTTGCAGGGAGGCCCTTTGAAGTAATTGCACTGTGGTCTCTGTACAATTGTGTTGGGTGAGGTTCCCTCAGGACTCAGGAGTGAGTTATGCAAGTCTCCGTGGAGTGATATGGACCCTTTTTCTATTCCATTAATTCAGGATGACAAGTGAACTCGGTTTAGATTTGAGATGAGATGGGAAACATGAAGCGAAGGGGGGAAGCAAGATGTCATATCACCTTATAAGGAGGTTGTGGATGCAAAGTTCCTTTTTTACCTTGGGAAGGAATTTAGTGCACATAGGCTCCTTTGAAGGTGTCATTTTTTTTCTTGGACTGCATTGTTTGAACTGACAACCTCGAGAAGCTTCATTTAATTAGTAATTGGTGTTTCTGTGTAGAAGTTTGGCATTAAATATTTATCATCTTTTACTTTATTGAGGTGTAGCCAGCTATGTTTAGTTCCTATTCTTTATATATTTGGTATGACTGGATCATGTTGGCAATTGGGATTGCTGTTTGATTTGTTGGGTAGTTCAATTCAATGGAAATTGTAGGTGAGGCAGTTTTAGGGACGCTTGGTGTAACACTCAATTTGAAGGAAACAGAATAATTGGGCTTTTGAGACTGGACTTACCAATTGTAATGTGAATTGTATGATGGTGAATATGTTCTCTTACTCTACTTCTCTCTTTGAGGATTTTCTCCGTGATCATCTGATTCTTTTGTTGAGTTTTTGAGCTGTTTGTTTGTTCATACTTCATATATATCAAAAGAGGATGTCATAGTCATTTTCTGTAACTATGTTTTGATGTCCTCGAGTGAATTCATTTGTTAATGAAAAAGGCACAGTACCTCTTGAATGTTCAAAGAATGATAAAATACTTTCTTTTATATTATCAGGGAATATATCATTGATTTTCATTGGGCATGAAATCTGAAATATGAATCTGACAAAACCCTTCGCTCAAGATTAGCCGAAAACAAGAAAAAGTCTCACTTTCCATCGTATTTCGACGGGAGCCTGCAGTCTGAATATGACAGATAGCTCAGTATAACCAGAACATGCGGAAAACTAATTCCAGACTTCAGATGTATTTGGGGAAACATTGGTAAAATGATTGATGGATCAGTTCTGTCTGATTACCTAAACAAGCACAACTGTTTTTATTAGAATTGTTGTGATAATTGTTGGAACGTGTCCCACATTTTCTAGAGTTGCCTTATTTGTAATAGCTATAAGGCTCCAATTTCCCTCTTCTTAACACTTGAGTTTTAAGGAGAAGTGTGGGCTAGATTTTTTAATTTGGTATCAGAGCTTGGTTGGGCCTGTGATTGGTGTGCCATTTATCCGACTATTGTATGTTGTGGTCCAGGACGGTGTGTCAGAATGTGTCCCACATCGCCTGAAGTAGTCCCATTTGTAGTGGTTATAAGCCTCCAGTTTCCCTCTTCCTAACACCTGGGTTTTAAGGAAAAGTGTGAACTGAGCTTTTCAATTATAATCAACTGGAAGGATCTTATCTCGTCTATGGCACCTACTCTCATGAGGAATTTTCGACCAATCACGAATCTGTTTAATAGTGGAAATGTAGATCATTGGAGCCAAGAAATTTCAACATGCTTATGTATAGTTTGTTTGTACCAAAAAATATCAGTGAATCATACATTTGATCCGAAGTAGCAAAACACGAAGTTATCAAGCTATGCTGCTAGATCATCATGTTACCAGATATGGGATTACTGGGGTTCATACACTGTGGGCAGTCATTTATGTATAGTACTGCTTTTTTTTTTTACCTGTTTTTTAGATTCTTTGGTAAATCTTGGTTGGGAATGTTCGTCACGTCAGATTGCTACCTGTTTTCATCCATTCAACGGTTATATAATTTGTATAACTTCGTAGTAATTCCATCAGGTTCACTGGGAAACCTCACCGCTTTTGGTGTGATTAATATACCTAAACATCTCTCATGTTTCACAAACGTAGTTCCCAATGTCACCACACTCATTTTCTGCGAGCTTTCAAGGTTTGATCATTATGACGATAGCACTTGAACTGAGATATTCAACTCCTCTTTTTTTTTTGTTGTTGTTGTTGTTGTTAATGTCAACAGATAAGGTTGGCAGAAGCTCAACAGCAGAAAACCGTGGAGCAAGATATGAAGCCAGAACAATTGGAGAAGATGGCTAAATTGGAAGGTTGGCGGAAGGAGCTGAAGCTCTTGGAAGATACGAAAGCCGAGCTATCATAAAATTGAAGTTTGTTTTTAGGGTGAAGGAGCTTTGTAGTCTTTAATTATTGTGACTTCATGAAGATGTAGACACCTCATTTTGGTAAAAGAGAGCCTCCTAAACCCTAAGATTTTGATTTGTCAAACCTGTCATATTAGATGTAGTTTGGAAGACCAGAAAAAGATCCAAAAGTTTGGCTTACTCAGCAGCAACTCTTTAGTGTAACACAGAACCTATTCAAGTCCTCATCCCAGGTGATTGTTGCTTCAGAATTCAAGTTTCTTTGTAGTATAACTCACGTCTGAATTGCATACTTTGAACCTTAGTCAAATTTTAAGTAAAATTTTACTAGGGTAAATTACATTTTTCACCCTTGAGCCGGTGTGTGAACACTGGTTCAAATATGAGGAATCATTCCAGGTGATCATTGCTTGAATGAATTCAAGTTTCCTTGTAGTATAACTCACATATGAGCAGCATACTTGAAACCTTAGTCAATTAAGTCCTTATATTTGAACCGCTGTTTGAAGGCAAGTTTAAATATGAGGACTCCATTGTTGCAATTAGAAGGTGACGGACTAAAATGAAATTTAAATGGGGAATCTTAATTTTTGAAAGGGTAAATTACATTTTTCACCGCCAATTTTCACTTGAATTTCATTTTGGTCTCTCACCTTCTAATTGTGACAATTAAGTTTTCAAATTTCTGTCCATAAATTACATCCTCTTATGTGTTTATTTCTAAATGATGGAGGAACAAACTGCATGTGGAGTAAATCATAAGAGTTGTGAGAAAAAACTTGGTGAGCGATGATAAATTATGTATCACAAGTGTTTTGCTGCAAATGTAAGAACAATTACATATTTTTGTTGAAATTAAGTTTTATGATTATAAAAGGAGTAAAACTATGAAAAGCACATTTTTAGGGGGTCTTTTGAATAAGTTTACATAAAATTGTATTAGAAAAGGGAGTTGTTATTCCCACTCTATTTTGTTTTAATTACATTTTTTTCTTTATCTTTATTATATATAGTTACATTAATATCCTTGGAATTTTAATTTTTTTAGGGAGTGTATTTCGATAAAGAGTGAGTGTATTTGGAGTAAAGTGAGATGAGAATAATTACTCCTTGAGAAAAACTATACTATAGTTCTTGAAACATCTCGGAATTATTTGAGGAACTGTTGGGAAAATTTTCTCAAAGTAACTTTCTTTTATGTTGTGTTTGGTTAGAAGATTTGGGGAGGGATTTGGAAAGGGAAAAGGAAAAGGTGTGTGAAACTATGTGAAATATATGCATGATTTATTCACATTTCACTTACCTTTTCTATTTTCTTTTCTAAATTCCTCTCTAAATCCCCCAACCAAACACAGCATTAGCAAACATCAGAAAGTTATTTTTGCATAAAAATATAATTAGCAAGTGTTTTTGAACTTATTATTATTTTTATTATCAAAAACACAAAAATTAAAACAAGAAAGAGGAAACATCACCAGACTTTGCACCATTTGGTTGGTTTTGGAGCATCCACTACCCAAAACAAAACGAAATACACAGAAATTTATTTTAAAAAAAATAAAAAAATACTGGAATATTATTTTTAAAATTTTAAAATAATAATATTACAACAAGAGAGTGGTTAGGCAGCCAAACTAACATGATAACCTTACATTCTCAAGACAGACATATGTGCTTTATTTTTATGACACATCATATTGTTTTCATTTTTAGGGTTCATTTAAGTCTAGCCTGCATCTTCTTTTTCATATTTTGACCTGAAGATGATATAATGAATCAATATGTATATTTTTTGAGATTTTGAAAAAATTTATAAATACGATAAAATTTAAATCCAAACAGACAAAAATAATTAGATTCCAATTATATGGGAAAAAATTTGTGAAAACACTCTATTTAGAAGATAAAAGAGTAGCTAACAAAGTATCAAAATCGCAAAAAAAATAATAATAATAAATGTAAGAGTATTTCAATCAAATGTCTATGCCATGTCTTAGCCATAACATTGTTTTCGATAATTAAGCGTGGATGGTGATGAAGAATTTATATTTCTTCTATTTTAATTATGGCAATTTTTTTGTAAATTTACGATTGACAGATTATTTGGTTACACACTTTCCCAACAACAAAATTAAATTTCAATAATTTAACAAAAGATAACTTCATTGATTTTTAAAAAGAGTAAAAATTCTGTCGATGAACATAATTTTGTTACAAATGCTATTCTACTCTTACAATTTTGGTGTTGATGATCTATTTTTGGTTTAGAAAATGCTATAAGTCCTAAATCTTTTAGTGTTGATCATCTATTTTTGGTTTGGAAAATGTTATTGGTCTTAAATTTTTTATCAAATAAATGACTAAATGTCTCGCATATATAAAATATTTGATCATTTATTTGATAAAAAATTTGATATTCCTAACATTACTGTTACGGTTTTCCACCATTTACAGGCCTAGTTTCACCACCTCATCCTCTGTCAACTGCTACACAATCCCTCGATCTTAAAAAAAACGTGTAGGCATAACTTTTGCAACTTCCCCACATTTCTAGCAGGAGGTATTTGCATGACGGAAAATTATTGAGCGTTTTTGGAGTATCATATATCTATATTTTTTCATTAATTATTATTTATCATACCTTTTTATATTTCTTAATTACTCAATACAAAATTATAAATCTCACATTCTCCACTAATCATAATATCACTACCCAAAAAAAAAAAGAACTTTTAGCAATGGATAAAAACCGTCGCTAAAAACAAAAATTCCATTGAAAAAAGTATTACCGACGGATTGGCGACAGATATGAGGCATGGCAAAAACAGGCATGACAAAAGGTTTTTGCGACAAATTAAAACTGTTGCTATTTTTTCCCGACGGATTTTCAACTCTTTTGTGACGGTTATTAAGGGTCAAAAAAAGTAAAAATATATATTTTTTTACGACTACAGCATTATCCGTCGCTAATAAGTCTGGTTCAAAATCAATTTAATGACACAAATTTAGCGACAATAACACTAACTGTTGCAAAAATAATTACTATGAATTTTTTAAATTAATTTTATTGAATTTTCTTTTGCAACGACTAAACCATTACATAAAATTTTCCATATGTGACCATATTCTAAAATTACCAAATAACTTTCCGTATGTGACACATTTTAGACCAATAAACCAATAAAAGAGAAGGTATTATTTTCACACATCCTGTTGCTTCATGAAAAGAAAAATAAACATAAAAATATATATGGATCAAGTTTGTCTCCTGTTCAAAATTGGAATAGAGCGTATTGTTAGATTTGTAGGGCCCACCACAAGTCCAATTTCGATGATTTAAATCATTCAATGTGTAGGGTTCGTCAAGTATTTTATTCATGTAAAAAAAATATACATTAATCGGATATCGATAGCCACTTGATCAGATCATATTTTTATCAATAGTAAATATAATTTTTAAAATAAATTATTAACAAAAATGTATTCTGATCAAGTGGGTATAGATATTCGTTCAATGTAATTTTTTACAGAGATGAAGTATTCGATGAGCCCTATACTTTGAACGGTTCAGATCATCGAAATTGGGCCGGTGGTGGGCCCACAGACCCAAACAATACCGCCCAGTTTACTTTGTGAACTAGAGACAATTTGAATCCAATAAATACATATATATAATTTTACCGCATGAAATCTAGATCCGTAGGGAAAATAGTTTAGGATTACAAATACCCTCCTTAAGATTTATTTAAAATAAGAATTGCACTCCTATAGTTTTGGAAATTAAATTCTGCCTATTGAAGTTTTTAATTTTATAACAAATAGTCCATTTTATTAATAAATTATCAAGTCAATTAATAATTTTTAATGATATTAGAAATTTATTTCAATTAATAATTTAGATAATTTTGTTATTGTATAGGAGAGCAGTTACGAATTTTATTTCTTTAATTAATTCTATTACATAAAAAATTCTGACAAATGGATATTTGTAATTTTTCAAACTATAGGATTAATTCATATTTTAAGCAAATTTTAAGGGGTATATTTGTAATTTACTTAATAATTTATAATGCAAACACGCTCTAATTAATCCACCAAAGCAATCTGTTTGTAAATGGTGTGAATTGAGAACATGAAGCCATTTGATATTATTTGAAAAATTAATGGGGTGAATTGAGAAGAATTTTTTTTTAAAATCTATCTAAATGGTGTGTACTGAGATAATGTGCAATATAAAAGGAGAATTACAAAATGTAACAATGAGTTCAAAATTTTGAAATTTTTTCCAATTTTTAAAATAGCCAAACAACTTGGCCATTTTTGGTTTGTTTGAAGCTTTCATTAACAGTATATATATATATGTTTCATAATAATTTTTTTAAAAAAAAAGTATTTGCTCCCTTTTTTTATTAACGTTATTTAAAAAAAAAAAGAAACAAAATAATAATATTACAATCAATATGTATGTATAGTTTTTTGAGATATTAAAAAAAAAATATTTAAAAAAACTAAATTCTATATCCAAACAGACAAAAATAGTTAGCTTATTCATGAAAATTATATACAGTTAAGCGAAAAGGCTTAAATCTTTTTTGATGTGATATATAAAAATTTATCAACAAACTCTGTTTATAAGATAAAAAAATTATAAACAATGTTTTAAATGAATGAAAAAACGCAAGAGTAGTTTCAATCAAATGTCTATGTCTTGTTTTAGACACTTCATTCTCTTCAAGAATTAATTTATTTATCTCCCGTTTTGAGTATACATGTCAATCTTGTTAGGCCTTATTTGACATGATCTAAAAAAATTAAAAAGTTACTATCCTATTTAAGTCACATCATCTTATTTAAGTCACATTACCTCTCTAACACATCATTTCAAACCTAACTCATACTTCATAAAAAGTCAAAAAATACATTTATTTAGATCATCTCAAACAACCATGTATTGTACTAATTAGACATATTCTAATTAGTTCGTCAAAACAACCCATCTGCAAATGGTGTGAATTGAGAACATGACGGTATTTTGATATTATCAGAAAATTAATGGTGTGAATTGAGAAAATAAATAAATAAAATGTGGTATGAGCTATGCAACTAGTGTGTACTGAAATAATGTGTAATTTTAAGAATTGTTTTCAATTTTTATTTAAACAACAATGTTAGAAACACAAAATATATCTGTATTTATTTTGTGATCGGTCCACCGTGCACTGTAGACTTCCTCTTATTTAAAATACCCAAGTCACTATTCAAACAGTTGGGCCAT